AGAACATGTAGGGGAATTGCCATGGAACTATAACCGTAGATTTGTGCCAATAGGCTCTTGGTGCATCGCCCTGCGAACTCAATAAATTCTTGTTGAGCCTTTGCCTATCATATGGAGGACATTGTCGGAGCAGGACACCACACAACGATAATTCACAAGGACGCAAATATAAGTAAGGTGGCCGGCATCAAACCCATCTATTTCTTATAAGCCAACTTGGTCCACGAAATGAGGCATCATATGATTTGGTTGGATATCTTATGCTTTTCCTAAATTTTCGCTGAAATGTCAAGCGATTGTAGACGAAGCATAAAACGGTTACAACTGTGACCGAATAGCTATATCGTCAACGGAAACATTAATATTTTTTATCCTGCATTGTTAGCACAGGTAGATAGGAAGACCAAGATATTGTGGCCACTACTTTGGTCGCAGTATCCTTTCGATGCATAGATGTGGCCTAAACTCGTTTTCACAACTTGGTCGGGTTGTCGGGGTGACTTAGTTGGAGGCACCTTGTCCGAAGTCCTCTTCTATACTAGTTAACATAATTCCTAACGTCGAAACATTACCAGACGAATCGCCGATAACATAGTCGGCAAAGTCAGTGAGTCTTGTCATTCTCAAGACTCTCTTCTCTTACTCTCGCCTGTTCACAATTTCTGGCCTGTTTATATTAATACCCCAGAGATGTGCCCGTTTTTTTGGCGAATTTGGCATGTCATCGTCACACCTGCCGTTTGCCTTGCCCAACACCTCTCAACTTGTTGATCCGACTCAGATCCCGTATCCGGATCTCCCTCATGGATCCGAAGATCCGTTTCTTATCCGTATAGTTGATCGATTTCGCTCGATTCCATTCCCAATGTACGTTCTACTCAAGGAGCTATTGCCTAAGCCTCACGTAATACGTACAATGTCGCATCACCTGAAGATCATCTAAACTTTAGTGGTCACTACATTTTGGTCTTCGCCAGAGGATGCACTGAATACAACAGGACAAAGTAGACAATTGTAAGTCATTCATGCCATCTGACTTTTCTAAACTGTTGTAAACATTATGGTATCACTCCCAAATATTGTGACCTTAAGAGACAGTAACGTTCAGATTTACCAGACCTTCATTCATATTTCAAGCGAAATCTATGATATGGAGAGAAATAAGTCTTTTATGGTGTGGCCTTTTGTGTGGTCGCAGTCTCCTTTCGTTGTATAGAGGTTGTTTGACCTCGTTTTCGCAA